ACAACAAACTATGGCAGGTCCTTAAAGAGATGGGAGTACCAGACCACCTCACATGTCTCCTAAGAAACCTGTATAAAAGACGCCTGCTCCTTGGGAGGAAAGCGATGGCGAACCTAAACAGCATGATAAAAAGTAGAGACATCACCCTGCCAACAAAAGTCCGCATGGTCAAAGCAGTGGTATTCCCAGGAGTCACATATGGCTGCGAGAGTTGGACTATAAGGAAGGCCGAGCGCCAAAGAAGAGATTCTTTTGAACTATGGTGCTGGAGAAGACTCTTGAGAGTCCCTTGGACTGCAAGGAGATCAAATCAGTCAATCCTCAAAGAAATCAACCCTGACTGTTCCCTGGAAGGCCAGATAATGAAACTGAAGCTCAAATACTTTGGCCACCCAATGAGAAGGGAGCACTCACTGGAGAAGAAGACCCTGATGCTGGGAAAGATTGAAGGTCAGAGAAGATGGGGACGGCAAAGGATGAGATGGTTAGACAGTGTCATAGATGCAACGAACATGAAATTGAGCCAACTTCAAAGGACGGCGGAATCTGGTCCATGGGGTCGTGAAGAGTCGGACTCGACTGTGCGACTGAACAACAAAAAATAAATGTTCCACCAATGGAACATTTTACTATGTATGATTCTTTTTCCAGTAGTGGGGAGCATTTGAGTTGCAGCCCACTTTCGGAGTTTAGTGTTTCTGGTTTCAGTATCTCTCCCACTCCGTTGTCCTTTGTGTTTTTTGACCTCCTGGAGGTTGGCAAACCCAGGTCAGAATCATGTTTGGTTTGGGCCTCAGCCAGAGCATAGAGTCAGGTGGCCACCTCTGGCAGAAGATTCTGGAAGCTATTGAAAGGTGGCAAATAGTTTATTATAATAATATTTTCTACCGCAGCGTCTGTGTTGTGTTTTGTGCGCGCACCACCCAGTTGAAATTTTCCGCCTCAGGAGCCAAAATTAATGGTCCGGCCCAATCCTTGGTTACTGCACATTCCAGGGCCTGTGAAATTATTCAAGCTCTCTCGATGGGCCGCTGCGTTGGCCGCTTCCCTAGACAAAGAGTTCTCTCTGGCTGAAATATCCTCCAGTTCTTCGTTAGCTTTGTGTGAAGACTACCGAGGGGGGAAAGAATCCCTCCAGTGTGTGTGTGTGGGGGGGAAACACCACAGACAAGTCATTATTAGGAACTCTGATGTGTTTTTAATATAACCCTTCCCACATTAAAAAAAAACAGGATTAAAGAGAACAAAACGACAAAGAGAAGTCCCTCCGTTACAAGCTACGTAGATTTGTTCCTTGACCTGCGCATGGAACAATATGTACAAGAGCCGTGTTTCAAATATCACAAGGTCGTCTTCACATCGTTGTCTTAAAAAAAGAGAGAAATCACTATAGTTGGGCCGAAACATACTTGGCGGTGTCTTCCAAGCTGAGGAGGTTCGCTTTATATTAACATTTCACTTAAAAAAAAAAAAAAAGACACACACATACAACATAAACATTACAATAAATTTCAGATCTGAACAACAAATTCACAAATTTGGTATCGTTATAACTTTAGTGCACATATGATACTCTTCCTCCCCCGTCCTCCTGTGTATAAAACAAAACAAAATCCCTGGACTGAGATGTACATTAAGTTGTCGTCGACATTAAAATTTGCGGTGGATTTGACGTTAAACTGAGTGGCTCAGGGTGAAGCTAAGCTGCAATACTATGAAGATAGACCAGTGGCACTTTTAAGACCAACAAAGGTTTATTCGAGGAATGAGCTTTCGTGCGCAAGGCACACTTTCCCAAAAAGCGTGCCTTGCGCACGGAAGCTCATACCTTGAATAAACCTTTGTTGGTCTTAAAAGGTGCCCCACTGGTCTCTAAATTTGTTCTACTGCAATACTATGTGCAGTTTTCTGGTAATAAGCCCCACTGGATATTGTGGGACTTGCTCCCAAATAAATGCACATACGATCGAACTGTTAGGCCTCCATTTTCCCCAAATGGTGCTCCAAGTGGCTTGTAGCATGTCCTGCATCCATAATACACTGTGTCCCCTTTGGGAGACTGTTAAAACGGTTTCCCAGAATCCTGTCCTTCTCTTTGCTCGGTCCGTCGGGGGCTTAGAAGGCGAGGGAACGCTTTCTGAGGGTTCCGGATCCCTCCTGGGCCTGTCAGCTGCCTTATGTCCCCGTGTCTTTCCTCCATCTTGCAGCGTGATGAGGCTTGCTCAAAGAGAATCCAAAATGGCGGATTCATTTCCCCCCCCCCACACTCCCGCAGCACACTAGCGTCACCTTGGCACAGGGTTTGCAAACTGCTGATCCTGTTCAAACCCTCACACTGCGGAAGCCGTACGTCTTATGCCTTAAGTTTCCCCTTTCCCCTTTTTAAGCACCTCGCCGTATGCAAGTGGAGGGAGCATTAGGGTCTTTGTCCTTTGTTTTTGCTGGAAATGCTTCTGTTCTGAAAACATTCTTGAAACAGAACTCGCCAGTTTCTCCAGACAAGTCATTATTAGGAACTCTTATGTGTTTTTAACGTTCACCTTCCCACATTTAAAAAAAAAAACACACCACAGGATTAAAGAGAACGAAACGACAAAGAGAAATCCCCTCCGTGATAAGCGACGCAGATCTGTTCCTTGACCTGTGCGTGGAACAGTGTTGATGTACAGAAAATAATCCTGTCTGAGTGTGTGTGTTTCCCCGGCCCAAAACACACACACTCAAGATGGAGAGCCGGGTTTGATTCCCCACTCCTCCACTCGCAGCTGCTGGATGACCTTGGGCAAGCCATAGTTCTGACAAGAGCTGTCCTTGAAAAGAGCAGTTCTCTCAGAACTCTCTCAGCCCCACCAGCCTCCCAGGGTGTCTGTTGTGGGGAGGGGAAGGGAAGGAGATTGTAAACCGCTCGGAGACTCCGAGTGAAGGACAGGGTATAAATCCAACTCCGCTTAGTCTTCTTGCCACATAACAAATCAAATGCCTGGGTTGGTTTTTTTTTGGGGGGGGGGAGTCTTAGATTGGGGTGAGATAGGTTGTACGGTGCATTTCCTGGCTGTATGCTTGCACAGTTGGAGCGGACACATACAGGACGTCCGTGGATGGAGGCCACCTTTCACGTGTTCCGTGAACATGTGGTGGTTAGGCGCAGAGGTTGTGGGGCCAAACACCACAGCTGCAATGAGCTTTTGTTACAGGGCATCACAGGGGACACATAGCTAACAACAGAGGTCATTTCGGGGGGGGTCGCGGGGGATCGCAGTTCCCCCCGGGTGAGGTACGGGGGCGGGGCACATGACGAAGCCCCGCCCTCTGCTTCCGGCCGCC